TCGTATTTCTGAGACGTTCAGTTCGACTATAAGTTTACTGAAATTGGAGTTCATATGGTCTCCAACTTAATTTTTGAAGTTTCTAACTTGATTTTTGCCTTGAGATTCGTGCCCGATCAATATAATTTTTTTATGATATATCAATTTTTGACAAGTCACTAAAAATTGCCTTAATTGAGCACAAATTTTGAGGCATATTTAAGTTGTCATCTTCCAATATTAAATTCGAGATCATTCGAACTCTAGTTTCATCAAACTTGCAAAAAAATATAATAGACCCCCACTCTTTACACAAAAGAGCACATTTGGTTGGACATTAGAAAGAGCTAAGAGGTTTTAAGGATATAGAGCTCTACCAAAGCATCACTGTAGGCGCCTCGGTCGGCCAATTTAACCACTGCACCGCCTCCCGACCACCATCAGACCTTTGTTCGACTGCCGACCTTTATCGGACTATTGCCCGACCACCGGCTGTCATTGGATCTCCGCCCAATCACCGATCCCCGTCGAACCACTGCCCATCCACCGATTGATGCCCACCTTCGGACCATCGCCCAATCACTGATTTTCATCAGACCTTCACTCGACCATCGACAACCACCAAACCTCCGCCCAACCATCAACCTTTGTTGGACCTTGTTCTGGCAGATGCTATCAAGACTTCTGGCATTCGTCACCTGACCATGATCATTACAAACTCTCGAGTACCCATTCAAAGCTAGACCGACTTTCCAAACTATTGTAATTTCACCATCTCCAAGTTAAGGGATGGTTCAAGCTTTGTAACTCACTCAAGTCTAGTAGAATATTTTCAACTGGGCAAGACCCCATGCTTTTTCTCTTTTTTAGAGTTTCCACGTAAAAATATTTTATTGTTTCCTTGTTCTCTCAACTATCTGTCTGTATATTGGATATTCATGCATCGCTAGGACGAATAATTTTCTCATTCTACCGCTATGAATATTCTAGCCCTCAATAATTATGAATATTATTTTGTATTTTATTTTTTACCTAAAATTTTATATGGATAATCATGCTATGATTTAGTATGAATAAAACATTAGAAACATGTTGTTGGAACAATTCACCATTAGTGCCAACAAACCTTTTTTCTCTCCTCTATTTGTCCCTCTAAAAGTGATTGACTAAGAGACTTATAATGCCTATTAATTTGGGTTGTAATGCTTTAAAAAAGTTTATTGATGAATGAAGTATTTCAAAGGAGATATGCTCGCCGTTTGCTTGATGCTTGGTGGCTTCAATTAGTTTATCTACATTTGGTGAGTTAGAAGTTTTTTTTTTAATATTTTCTTTATGTTACTTACTACTCTTCGTAAACGCTTGAACCTATCTTCCTACACTATAAACATCATCAAAGACCAGGAATCCAAAAACAAATATCTTAAGACCATTACAAACAATTTTATATAACTCTCGTCTAAATCATGAATCATTAGGACATAATCTTGTTCCCCACACTTTGATATTCACTTAAACTCTACCAAATTATACTATCAACTCCATATCATAATTTCATATTCTAAGGAAGCTATGTACACTAATTTTCATCCTTTTAACCCATATAAAATCCCAAATTAGCCCAATTGGGTTAGTTTTGACATTGGTACTGGCATGCCGCTTTAAATACCTCACCATTCCACCATAAAATCTATAACTTTCTTTAAATATTAAATTAAAATATCTCTGGTCTTTTATAACCATTAATTGTGCCAAAAGGCTACCCACCAATTAACCACTACCATCATTAGCAGTGCTCTAAATTCTATTATTGGTGATGGCGAGTCACAATCTTATTAACATCTATGTTGGTGTTAATGACATTTATCATCATTATTAGCGATGATTTGCATAATATTATCAATGAAGAAATGTGAAGATCTTGCTAGTATCAGTCTTAATGTCAACAATGTACATTAACTTCATTGGAAATAGTAGACATTAATATTATTGATAATTATATGCGATAACCTTATTGATGTTGCATTGATATCTACGACGTGCATTTATCTCATTAATGCCGGTGAACATTGATGTTGTTGTGATAGCAGGTAACAATCTTTTTGGCATTAGCTTGGTGTTGTCTGCATGCATCATTTTTATTAGCAAAGGAGGGCATTAATGTTGTTGGTGAAAGCGATAAAAACTATTACATTTAATAAAAAAGTTCTAAAACATTACATTTAATAAATTTTATTCACATGTGCAAGTGATGTTTAAGATTTAGTTTATGATAGCTTTTGGCCACTATTTTTTACAGCTTTCATCAAATTTTTGTGTCAGGAAGCTGCTTTTGAAAGTAGTAAGAAAGCTGTCACAAATGAAGCCTAAAGCTTATATTTGATGAATGGAGACTCTTCTTACGCAAAGTTTGCAATATGGATATGATTGTAAGATCATTGTACACCTTTCTTATTTCATGATACAAATAAATGACATTTTTATATGTTAAACTTATAATAGGTTGCCATTTTTTAGATAAAAAGGTTTTTGTTTGTTATGGATAAAGCAAAAATAAATCATGTTAATTATTATTGTTTATATTAGCAGAATTAAAATTTCATGTAAGAGAATTTAAAAAAAATATTCTAAATTTAGATGACAAAATGTCTATAATTTATATAATTATGGGAGAATTCAATTGTAAAACTTCCATATTATATATAGCTATATATAATTTTTTTCTGAAATTTATAGAGGGTGTAAGCCACCTCCATTTTCTTTTTGATTTCACCATTGGTTGATGATCATATCAATTGATGCTTTTATTAAAGAGCGCATCATTATTGAGCCTTGATGTTGATTTTATTTTATTATGAAGTATTTGACTTATGCAAATGTTAAGAATTATTATTTATAATTTATGATGTGAGGATAACGTATTTTGCTAATGTTTTTGGCCCAATGCGCTCGTTTTCTTTAAATTATTTAGTCCAATTAAGATTTTATTTGGGACAACTTTCCTCCTATTTTTTTTAAAATAAAATTTTAATACAAAAATATATTGAACTATAAATTTTTGTACTAAAAAGTTTCTTTAAAAAATAATAAAAAAGTTGTCTCAACAGAAACATAAGGAAATCTTGATAAACATTTTATTTTGTTCATGCAAAATAATGAATTATGATATTCTAATATAAATTATATCAAATAGAGCTTTGAATAATTGAAATTACTATAAGAATAGTGCTAACATAGCACGTTTATATTGCACTAATCTTAAAGAAAATCTAATATATATATTTTTTAAAACGGGGGAATCTAATCATTTAAGGTTAAAGACATCATTATGGTGAATATTTTAGAATGATAAAATGATAAAATATATTCTTCATTGAATTTGTACTCATTAGTGAAAGTGCTGCTATAGAGATCAATGTAGAGATGAAATTTTAATCAAGCAAAATTTAAATATTTATATTTTTCTATTCTTAAATAATTTTGATTATTTTTTTATAGTAAGAATTTATAATTAGAAATTTAAAAATATAATACTATTATTTAATCAGAATAATTTCTATATTAATGATTTTTAGAAGCATATTTTTATAATATTTTATAATGATAAAAATATGATCATATTTAAGCACTTTAATTACAAGCGGCATATTTATTATAGCGGTGGAAGATCAAGCATTGGATTCTATCCGTTAAGTTCAATCTAATCTAGATTTTTATTATAGCGGTGGAAAATTAAGCGTGAGATTCCATCCTTTCTACTTCGATCTGGCTAATAGTGCTTTTATTTCCCTTTTTAGCTGTTTTTTTAATATTTAAAATAATTATGATAAATTTATACATATATCATATACTTAGGATATTTTAGTTATTTCCCTTTTTAGTTGTGCATTTTTAAAAGTGAGGGGTTATATAATAATATGAAATTTAGTAGAATTGGATATTAACATTTTTTTAAGAGATGTTATTTTGTGCGGATACCGGATGTAGAATATCATACAGAGACTAATCAGAATACATCACATCAGCAGTATTGAGCAAGGGGTGATGTGGCACATTCTGGTTGGTCTCCAGACGGTGTTCGACATCCACACAAAATAATTAATCTTTTTTTTTACGCAACTTATTTTGGACTGTTAATTGAGAGCTTTGACTATCAAAAGCTTTCAATCAAGATATATTGAGATCGAATTGCATATGAGATGCGTATGTGAATTTGCTTTAATTGATCTGAATGATAATTCATACACATATTATATACGCAATTCGAATTTAAGATATTTTGATTAATAGTCAAAACTCATAACCAACCTATCAAAATGAGCTGCGTAAAAAGAAAAGAAAAGAAAAGAAAAGTTAGACCAAATTGAGTTGCTTGCTTTGATTATTTCCAATCCAATTCTACTAATTTTCATATTTATGATATAACCCCTCTCTTTTCAAAAAAAAAAGGAGGAATTTACATACATACCATTTTATACTATTATATTTACATATATAATACATAAAATTTTAATATTACATATATACTATTTTTATATTATTTTAATATCAAATATTTCATTTCCATCACTATTTTTTTTTTATTCCTAATTTTCTATCGCCTATATTTGATATGAAAGTGAATTATAGGCTGTAAATCCCACCGGGCTTAAGGTGGGTTGGTGGGCATGCTTGGTTGGGAACCCCCCATCCCAAGTTCGAATCTCCTCTCATATGACACAACTCCTTAAGTGGAGAGAAAAGAACTGTGAGTCCTGCATCTGTGGGGTTGTTGCTGGTAGACTCGCCGAAGGATTAATGGACATCGCCAAGTGCATCACAAGCTGGCGTGGCAGCAGCCCGGTACCCCTGTTACAAAAAAAAAAAAAAAATCAATAAATAAAATGTTATAGGCTGTATCTAATAATAAAAATTTAAATATTAGGTATATAAATAGAAAGTATACCTAAATAGAAAGTATACTGTAAATCTAAAAAAAAAAAGTCGGTGAAACGCCTTTAAATTTTTAGATCTTTTTCTTTTTTCTCGCTTCGCATTAAAATTGGTATCTTCCTCGTCTTCGGAGTTGGTTCCATATCCTACGCCATCTGTTCTTCTTCCTTCTCCGGCTAACGTCATGATTCTACCCGGCGGTGTATTTAATTCGTGCGCTTAGTGCTGAGGGGGAAACCCTAATCCCTCGTCAAATCTTGCGCTTCCATTGCGTTATATTTCGAAATCAGGTGCGGATTCGATTCAGCCGTTGATGTTAATGTTTCTCAATTTATCAAAATGGGTGGTTTTTGGATGATTTTTACGATTTCATCTTTCGATGCGGGTGGGTATTGATGGATTGCTGATTGTTTTCTGGATTGTTAACACGTCCTTGGGTTTGCAGGAACAGTAGTGGAAGAGAATCGTATTTATGTCCCAGCATCATTCCAGGGCTGAAAAGAACGAGGGACATCTCAGGAAATCAGGCCGTTCAGGAAACTTCGGGCAGCATAAGAGTTTCTCCGGCGGTGGAAAGGGCGGCAGCGGCGGCGGCGGCTCTAGCCCGGCTCCTGCGTTCTCGGCATCGCCTGCTACGCACCCGTCTTTTGCGCCTCATGTCTTGCCGGCTAACCGAAGGTGCGGCCTCGCTTCCTCCCCTCCCTCCCTCCCTCTCTTCTTTAACGCTTCTCTTATTACTTGGGCGCCCGGAAGATAGGGTTTTGACTGCCTCTTTTTTATGATGTTTTGTAGTTTCAAGAAATCTGATAATGGTCAGGTAGGGCAGTCTAGGGGGAGCACGGTGTGCTCCAACTCAGATGCCGCACAGAGAACTGGAAATGATGAAGCTTATTCCACGGTCCTTTCTGATGGTATGCGATTCTAATCGCTTCTTTGTGAATTTCTCAAAATTTACTCATTTTGAACTTTTCTTAGTGCAATTGTTAGTTGATACCTTACGGTTTTATAGGGTCCGCTATTCGACCTACAATCCTCAATGTTAAACCAGAGGATCCACCTAATAATCTGAAAATTGCCGGAACAGTTCCTAAAACCGTAGCTGCACAACCTTCTGCTGCTTCTAGTGCCGCTGGATCATCTGCCCAAATCAAAGGTTTTTTAGTTTTTCTTTTTACTCAGCTGTAGTTTCTGAGACATTGGCCGTTTTATTTTGAATCATAGATTTACTTTTTGTACACCACCTTCTTTGATATATAATTTGTCAAATGCTAATTGTTTTAAGCTTCACATTTGCTATTTGAGCTGTTGGTTTTTGATAAGTTTTGCCTGTTTTTTCAAATGTTGCAGATTAAAGCTTTCTATTATTTATATTGTTTTTCTTTATATTTATGCCAGGGGATGCATCCGGAGGTTTCCTTCAGTTTGGAACCATCAATCCTGGGATTGTAAATGCCATGCAGGTATTGGATTTTACTTTCTTTTAGGCTTTTTCATTTGTTCATTTTTTATTTAGTTTTAATTCATTGAGTGGCGATTCATCATGGAAAATGTAGATTCCGGCTCGAACAGCTTCAGCTCCACCAAATCTTGATGAACAGAAACGTGATCAGGTTTGTTTATACAATCTCATCATATAGTTTGTAGAAAGATCAGAATCCAGTTAACTTCCCTATAGTCGATTTTATTTTTCTTGGTGTATGAATGTGGGTTTGCTAAGGTGGATGAGTGGCTTTACCCTTAGAGATAGGATATGAAATGAGCATACACATGAGAAGGTTGGAGTAGCTCCAGTAGAAGATAAGATTAGAGAGAGTCGCCTTAGATGGTTTGGTCACATAAAACGGCGGCCTTCCGATGACTCGGTTAGGAAAGTATAGGTATTAGATTTGACTTATGTTAAGAAAGGTAGAGGCAGACCTAAAAAGACTTGGTTAGAAAATATTAGAAATGATCTTTCTTTATTAGATTTAAACGAGAATTTGACTTTTAATAGGACACAATGGAGAAAAAAGATTCACGTAGCCGACCCCACGTAGTGGGATAAAGGCTTGATGTTGTTGTTGGTGTATGAATGTGGGTTTAGAGATATCATATATAACCCTCCTTCCTTGAGAGATATCTTATATAGCTCGTTGATTCAAAATTTAGCCTGTTTTTTGTCAAACAATTGTCCTTATCAGGATGCGTGTTTGAACATTTCTCTATTGGTATTTTTCCAGTAAAGTGATATTGTTTAATCTTGTTTACTCAGGTCTGCCATGATTCATTTAAGGCTGTGCCTACATTGCCTATACCCTCTATTCCAAAACCACAGCAGCAGCAGAAACAAGAAAATCAGCAACCAAGGAAGGCTATTGAAGGTGTCAGTAAACCTGACAATGGAGAGACTCATCCTCCCATGCAGGCAAAGAGGGATATGCAAGCACCCATTCCATCTGTCCCCCCTCTTAATGCAACAACAACAAGATCTTCTGTTCTTCCCGCAGGTGGAATGCCAATGCCTGTTCCCTTTCAGCAGCGACAGATATGTTTTCCGTTTAGGGGTCCCAATCCACCGATGCCTTCGCAAAATATTGTTGCTAGCTCAGTACAAATGGCATTACCTGCAGGAAGTGTCCAACAAGTTCCTCAGCAGTTGTTTGTTCCTAACATCCAGTCTCATCCAATGCAACCTCAGGCAACAATGCATCAGGGCCAAGGCTTGGGATTTAACCCTCAATTAGGTCGCCAAGTGCCTCCTCAATTAGGAAGCATGGGAGTTGGTATTGTCCCTCAATTTACCCAACAACAGCCTGGACATTTTGGTACTCAAAGAAGAGCTGTGAAAATAACTCATCCACATACCCATGAAGAGCTTAAACTTGATAGAAAGACTGATTCACAGGCAGATGCTGGTTCCTTTGGGCAAAGGCACCTTCAAAATGTTTCTTCTCAATCTCAATCTCAATCTCAATCTCTTCCGGCTTTTAGTCCTTCTCCCCAGATAAATTATTATAAACCACCTTACAATACTACACAAATGTTTTTCCCTCCATCCTCTCTTCATCTAACAAATAATCAGTTGCCAACTGGTGCTCATGCTGCAAGTTTTTGCTATCCAATTAATCAAAACGTGCCGGCTATTTCGTTCATGAATCCATCCTCCCTTAATCCAGTACTAGGTGGCAGAACAGGGCCTCCACCTCCATTGCATGGTTTGGCCGAAGCGGCACGCACAGAAGGGTCATCATTTTCTATCTCATCATCAGCTCCTGTCCAAGTGATAATTAAACAGGCCGTTCCTATTTCAGAAAACACTGGTATATCAACAGTAAGGGTTAGCTTGCCTGGTAGTGGTACCAGAACAGAGCAACCAAAGCTTTTGAAATCACTGGGTGATGTTTCATCTGTTCCCCACCAGAAGAATAATAAGATTAATCCAGAAAGTAGTGTAATAATCCAGAAGCCAAATTCTGAACTATCTGGAATTGGCCCTTCGTTTTCAATTGATAAAATCTTATCCACAGTTTCTTCAACGGATTTGACTCAAAATAATAAAACTGAAGCATCACCATCATTGCATTTGGCTAATGTCAGGGATTCTCTCTCTATTATGGAGGAAAATGATGATCGGAAAAAGGAAGCTAAGCAACAATTAGAATCAGTTATCGATCACCCGGTAATGAAAAGTAAAAAGGAGCCTAGGCTTCCTCAGCAACAACAGGTCCTTTCTTTATTTATTGAATTGTCCTCCATTTTGAATGGAATATTTATGTTTTTACGTAATTTAATACATGTTAAGCCTGTGTATGATTGTTTACTGATCAGGATATGATTGGAGCTTGTACTGACAATGGCAAATGTACAAGCATTCCTAGTGTATCAACAGCTGATTCACCCACTTCTACCCCTAGGCTGCTTTCTGCTGATGTAGAATATAGGAATTCGGAAACAGTTTCGAAGACTGATTTTATGAGAACCTCTGTTCCTTCTGTATTTCCATTGGAGAAGGCTGATCAAGGTTACGAACATGCAGAGGTTGTTTGGAATAAACTTTCTCTTAAGGAGGCAGGTGACCCACAATCTTCAAATTCTTCAATTCTTAATGCCACTGGGATTTTGTCTGAAACACCTTGTTCTGTTCTCGATGGATCCATGGTTGTAGAGTTTGGACAGAAACAAGAGAATTTGGTAGCAGCACAGGAACGGCGAGGTGAAATATCATATAATGCTTTAGTAAGTAGCACTTCTGCTGGAGAAACTGTTTCCACTACAGGATGTTTACAGATGATTCCTGAGGCAGTAAACCATGAAGTTAAAGAAAAAACACCTGAAAAGAGCATTTGTGCTGAGCTTGATACTTCTGTGGGAATTATCTCTGAGATTGATGGGACAAGATTGTTGAGTACGCATCCCATTTCATCCTCTGATAGCAATTCTTCTGCAGTGGGGCTTTTTGGTCAAGTTCCCTCCACCATTCCCATTGAAGCTAAACCTCTACAGGTAGATTCCACAACAAGAAGTTGTGAATTACCATACATTGAGGAGATTGATGTAAAAGAATCTGCTACACTACCACCAGAAAATATTTCTATACCTCTTCCACTGTTCACAAAAATAGAGCAGAACATGAAAGGTGAAGTTGTGGAACGGTCTTTTGGATCTCCAAGAGTGATTTCAGGGTCAAAGGGCAAGCATGAGCCTAAGAAAGCCAGAAATAATAGAAAGAAGAAAATAAAGGAAATTCTTTCGAAGGCTGATGCTGCTGGTGCATCTGATTTGTACAATGCATATAAGGCTCCGGAGGAAAAGCTTGATGCTACTGTTAGCACTGCTGATACTGATAGCAGATGTTCAACAGAAGAATTGAAGAATGGAACTTTGCAAGGTTGCTGTAAGGCTACACATGCTGTTGAAGGAGATGAACAGGACAAAGCTGACGTTCAGGACTGGGAGGAAGCAGCTGATGCATCAACTCCAAAATTGAGAACCTCAGATAATGATGTGGAAAAACAGAACCAAAATGACCATGGGAGTCAGTCTACTGGTAGAAAGAAATACTCGAGAGATATTTTATTGACTTTTTCAGACAAATGCAATGATCTTCCTGAAGGTTTTGACTATGGATCAGACATAGCAGATATATTGATGTGTAATCCTGTAGGCACAAACCATGAACCGCGTTTTAGTCCTCGAAGGTTAATTGATAGGTCTCTAGGGGCTTCTCGGGGTGACAAACGTATCGGTGGCATCTCAGATGATGATAAGTGGGCAAGAGCATCCAATGCTTTCCACATGGATCTCAGTCATGGAACTGCATCTATGAACTTCCTTCTTGGACAGACGGTCAATAATGGAGTCCTCAGAAATCCACGCATGCAATCTCCCAATCATTTTGCTAATGGAATTCTCTCTGGGTCTATGCAATCACTTTCTTCTCAGGTAGGGATGGCAAGGAATAATCTAGATATTGATAGGTGGCAGCATGCCAGTGGAATTCAAAGAGGCTTATTCCCCTCTGCTCAGGGACCACTGCAAACAATGCACAAATCTTCTAACAGATACGAAGTTCGAAAATCATCTGATCAGGAAGAGCACACGCAGAGACAGCTGAAAGCTATATTGAACAAATTAACACCTCAGAATTTTGAGAAATTATTCTCCCAAGTCAAGGAAGTTAAAATTGATAACACACTTACTCTTTCTGGGGTTATTTCACAGATTTTTGACAAAGCTTTAATGGAGCCAACTTTCTGCGAAATGTATGCTGATTTTTGTCTCCATCTTGCTAGCGAATTACCTGATTTCATTGAAAACAATGAAAAGATTACTTTTAGAAGGTTACTCTTGAACAAATGTCAAGAAGAATTTGAAAGAGGAGAGAGAGAGCAAGCTGAAGCAAACAAAGCTGAAGAAGAAGGCGAGATCTGTCAGACTGAAGAGGAAAGAGAGGAAAAAAGAGTTAGGGCCCGGAGGCGTATGATGGGAAATATTCGCTTAATTGGAGAGCTGTATAAAAAGAAGATGTTAACAGAAAGGATTATGCATGAATGCATCCAGAAATTGTTGGGATATTATCAGAATCCTGATGAAGAAGACATTGAGTCCTTGTGCAAACTGATGAGCACCATAGGAGGGATGATAGATCATTCCAAAGCGAGGGAACGCATGGATGCTTATTTTGACAGGATTGCAATGCTCTCAACAAATGAGCAGCTGTCTGCTAGGTTGAGGTTCATGCTGAAGGACACAATTGACCTTAGAAAAAACAAATGGCAGCAAAGAAGGAAGGTCGAAGGGCCGAAGAAGATTGAGGATGTGCATAAGGATGCGGCTCAGGAACGACAAGCTCAAACCGCTAGACTGGCTCGTGGTCCTGTTGTTGCTTCAAGAAGGGGACCGCCTGCTAATTTTGGTCAGCGGGGCATGACAATGCTAAATTCTCCCAATTCTCAGGCAAAAACCAGTATTCGTGGCCATCCAACCCAAGCTCGAGGTTCTGGTAGTCAAGATGTTCGGCACGAGGATAGACCGCTGTATGAGAGCAAAGTAATGCCAGTTCCCCTCCCTCAAAGGACAACTAATGATGGTTCCATGACCTTGGGTCCTCAAGGAGGTCTTGCAAAAGGAATGTCTGGAAAAGGACTAGGGCTAATGCCAAATGCTCCTTCAGTATCAGGTTCAAATACTTTCACTCTTGCCTCTTCTCGAATGCTTAGCATATCAAGAGAAGATAGTCCGCAAAAATGTATGATTGATAGATTATCAGGGCCATCAAATTATCAAATAAGCTTACATGATAGTAACTCTCAATTTGGCATTGAAGATTTTCATGATGCAGGTCATACAATGGATAGAAATTCAGTCACTACTACTTCAGGGGAGAGGCCAATATCTTCAGGTGGCAAAGTTAGAGAATCTATTGAAGCAAAAGCATTCTCTGAAGATGTTCTACGACAGAAGTCAATATTAGCAATAAAGGAGTTCTACAGGTAATTTGGAATTCTTCCTTCGTAAGTTGCATTTCTAATCAATTATATCTAATCTTTAAAGTTGAGTATATGGTACCTATAAGGTCGGATCTCCCTAAAATGATGTTTTGTATGGTTAAAATATATAAACCATTATAAGAATGATTGAAATGATCCTTTTTATAGTTGTAAAGTTCATCGCTCTCTTAAAAGTCATTTGTTAGTTTGATATATTTCGAAGTATGAGATTTCCAATGAACAAATTTCTAGGTTCTACTTAATACACATAATAGCAAATCTCCTCCTACTCCTTTTCCTCCAAAGTTAGAAATGCATACAAGTTTCTCGTTGTGCTTAGTTTCTACTTTTTCTTATACAAGATAGATTAAAATTTAAAAGCAGTCAACAAGAACAATTGCTAAGAAACTGGGACAAGAAGGGCCGAACATTCTTGTTTTTTTCCCTACTTAGTAAGGTAGGAATATTGGAAAAGAGATTCAAGGAAATTAGTTATATACCAAAATTGTAGGATAAATGTTACTAGATAAGAACTTCTGATGAATTTGTTGAAAATTGGGATAGTCATCTTAGAAGAATGATATAGGGCTAGCTTGAAAAACGTTAGGCAAAATAAAAAAAAAAAGAAAAAAAAAGATGAAAAGATTATAAACAATAACGTTATAAGTATGTCTCGTACATGATCAAGGAAATTATCTGTCTTAAAAGGATTTCAGGCCTCACAATTGATCTATGATCAAATCCTTTAATAGATGACCCAATTAGTCTTCACATCCAAATTAATAAACAAAAAGATAGTAACAAATTGCTAATAAATTATCTATAAAATTATTGTCATTGAATATGAACCTAATAAAAAAAAGTCATAAAATAACTCCAAAATTTATGGCAAAATAAAAATTTCAAATATGTTTCTACATTAACTTTCGAGGTTGCAAAGCACTCTGCTTCAGAGAGTAATAGTGATAATAAACTCAAAGTAGACATATTGCTTTATTAGTTACGATAGATTTGTAATTAAAATCTTGAGAGAGACTTTGCTTGTGATGCTTTAATATTCATCAGATATCTTTTCAACATACCAACACCCTCTACTTATAAGAAGATTTCTGCAACTAAAGAAAACACAAGAAATGAAGCCAATAACAGGAAAATCAAGAGGAATCAGTGTGAATTTTCATAATAGTCAACATCATTTTAAAATAACCCACCAAAATGAGAGTCTCTTAGAATAAAACAAAATTTAATCTTAATTTGAGAGTCTCTTAGATATCCATGATATAAACCTTTTAGTTGATGCACTACATCCATCGTACTTCCAATATATTAAAGGTTGACATAATCTTCAAGCAACACCAACAAGCTTACATGAAAGTATCTAATGCAAGAAATAGCATCCGCCTTACTCTTGAAAAATAAAAAAATTGTCTTGCAGCATCAATACAAAATATTGGAGGCTTAAAAAATGTCTTGATTAGGTAATAGCTTTTCAGTATGGAAAGTAAGGTTAATAGTTATGTGAATGGACAAAGCAAGTACATACGCATTAGGTCCTAACTTTTTGATAATATAGTATGGTTTAGAGCTTTAGCATATAGAAGATATGATATCATTCATTATGTTAAATCCATCACTATAATTAGCATATTACTATAAATTATGTCAAAATAAAAATTCACTATTTTTGTACATCAATTTTCTTGGCTATAAAATACTATTTCAAAGAGTGGTAGTGATAAGAAATTTGAAGTAGACACTATGCTCCATTATTTATGAAAGTTAAGGTTTAAAATAGAGCAAGAGACAACAAGAGAGAATTTGCTTGTAAGCTTTGATATTCATCAAATATCTTTTCATCGTACAAACATTCTTTATTTATAAGATAATTTCAACAACTAAAGAAAATATAATAGAAGGAAGCTAATATTAGGATAATTGAGAGAAATCAATATGGATATTTCGTTACATGTAACATCATTGTAAAATATCCACCAAAATTAGGGACCCTCTTTATCATAGAAGAAACAAAATCAGATAGTGTTCCGATGGTAATTATGTTGACATAATAATTACCAACAATGTTAATGATGTATTGCATCAATGTTACTTCCGATATATCAAATGATATGGTGATCTTGAAGAAACACCAACATGCCCATATGAAAATATTAGTGTAAGAATTAGCATTTATTTAACTATTTAAAAATAAAAATAAAATCATCTTATAGAAGCATCAACACAAAATATTAGAAAATTCTGTAGAGTCTTTAGTTCCAATATTTTTCCGCAATCTCAGCCGCCAAACTCTGACAATATGCCAAATTGAAGTAATAAAAAACTCGTTTGAAGCTTGGAACATTACTAATGGAAATAATAAAGAATAACATACAAACTTTTGCACAATAACGTCTTGCTAAATCAACAACTTTCAAGGGGAAACAAATGGTGCATGTAATTAGTGGATGCCAACACCTAAATGACAGTAAATTTAAAAATTTTTAACTTGACATTTGTTAAGCAGGGAATTAGTAATATCAAAACTAAGGAATCGAAGGGTTGTGTCAAAGTGACTTTTAACAAAATATCAAAGCTTAAAGAGGTATTCAAAACGCTAGAGAACGCTTTCCATTATCATAGAAACTGTCGTCATAAGCATTATCCATCTAATAAACAGACTGGAAATAAACTAACGCAAAGATAACTAAACCAAAGTTGGCACATAATTTGTGTTTCCAACTGATAAGACTTTTAGATTTTAGTCATTTTGCATGGCTTGGAAAAATCCGGTTTTGATGAATTTGAGTATTTTATCTTTGCCTAGCAAATCCTAGTAAAGCTAATACAAGTTTGTTATCCCAAAGCACAATATATTTTAATTTCTTTAGTGGCCTTAATTTATGTGTATGGTAGCTTTTTGAATAAGACGAGTAAATCTATTTATTAAGTTGTTGGATGTGAATTCACATGATGGAAAAAAATTATGAAATAAAATAAAATTAGATACATTGAAATTTGGACCCATAGCTTTTTTGAAATCGTCATTTTATTAGTATTGGTTCCAATGTGCCATATGATTTTTATAGTCTCATCTTTCATGTAGTTAATTTTTTTAAGATCCCCAGGGTAAGTCTTTTAAGATTTAGGTGTACCATTGCTTTATCAATTGGTTTGAGTTTCACTTACCTTTTAGTTACTTAAATAACAGGCTTATAGTTTCCATAATTAATAGTAAATTCTTCGTGAATTTCTTTATGCAAATTGTGCAAAGGATATTAAGCAAGCAAGGAATTTGTTAAAATGCGAACTTGCATTTTAATGGATGCTAATAAAGATTTATAATCTATTTAAATAATGAGGATGATAAATAAAGTTGAGTGCATATAATTCACACAAATATGATATACATACGAGCAACCTTTTTTTAAAAAGCTAACCGAAATTGCTTTAATATTAGGGGTGATGATTTGGGCACTTTTAGATTTGCCTGTGGATTGAATTTTAGAGTTCTATTTCGTTAGGGCAGTACTCGTACTCAATTTCAGTCTTAATTCTAATTATTGTTCAAGCATAGATTAAGGTCCTTAGCCATATTCTAACGTAAGTACAAATTCTCATTCAACACAATTAGGTGTGGACTTATATTGCAATTATAAATCTTCTTTTGCATCTAATATGTCATCAAAAGAGTATTCATGAATTATAATTTTTCGATAGAATTAAGTTTGACCGCACATGATTCTTTTGTGGCTTGCTTAATAGGCTTGAGAGGAGAAGATAATGATTTCATTGTAGAAACTTTTATATAATTTATTTCACCGCTCATTTGGTCTTGTTTTGTTTAAAAGTCTTTCTATTGGGTTTTTAAGATAATTTTAATCTCATATTTTTGATGAGTTGTCAACTGACTTTTGATGTGACCCCCACTTCTAGTCATTTTGAAGCCGTGGTTGAGAGGAAAAGGTACTTACAGCTGTGATAGTACTAACAAAACACTCATAATATGCCTTGACATTTAGTGATCTAGATAAAACCTTGTATAACATTTTTGGTTGAATTTTAGCTTTGTTCATTTATAATTTCTTACCCAAGAGAATTAATGAAATAAATAACAATAACAAAATAATCATGAGACAAATGACTTTTTTCACCCACTCAAAGCTATCATTTTATTCACATACATCATATTCACCTTACAATGCTTAAATTCTCCATGCAATTGTTTCCTATGTTCTTTGAGTGATAGATATTATTTAATTTCATGTTTTAGATTAGATCATATAAGTTTAGTTTCACTTACAGTACCATGCCAAAATAATTGTGTGATCTATTAGTTTTGATTTTGCTCATACTAGTCTTTTAGAATCAAATAGATGGCATTGAAAAGCTCGTTAACATTATGCCTGCTATCAAATATAGATATGCAATTTTTGTTCTTGCAATAGTGAGAATGTGTTTTTGAAAACCCATTATTTATTTGATCCTGCTTAATTTTTCATCATTTATTTGTTTTTTTATTTCTCCGTGTGATAATGCACGTATAACTTTGATATTGATTTGATTTATGATGTCTTATAGTCTAGCGTTTACTAAAGATTTAGGATGAGACACTTAATGAAATATACTAAAATTCATAATTCACAGTTTTCTAACTCTTAAATTGAGAAAATCTCAATTTTATTTATTGTAAAATTAGAAAACACACATCTTTCATTCCAAATGATAATATAACGTCTTCAATAAATATGAAAGTCCACAAGAAATTTGATCTGGTATACAATTTTGAAGCGAATGAATTCAACTAAAACAACAACAACATCAAATTTTTATCCCACTATGTTGGATCAGCTACATGAATCCGTTTTGTCCATTGTGTTCTGTTAAGAGCCAAATTCTCATTTAACTCTAATAAAGAAAGGTCATTTTTAATATTTTCTAACCAAGTCTTCTAAAGTCTACTTAAGCCTTTCTTAACATAAGCCAATAATACATCTACTTTCCTTACC